TGACTTGACGACGCATCCCCGTACCCCCTTTTTAACATTGGCAACTGTTCTGTCTGAGGCGGTGCAAGATTTCCGTCATTGGAACAAATTTGTTTTAGGAGGTTTTCAATGCCAATGTTAAGAAGGGGGTACGGGGCTGTAAAGAATCTACGTTGTAAAAGCGGTGCAAGATTTCCTCCATCCACAGTATGACAATCCCTATAATTTCAGTACTGCCCCCCCTCAGTAACAGTTGGATAATAACTACAATATGGGTATATATAGCCTTCAATAGGACCCCTGATTTAGACTGTTAATGGGGGGGGCAGGACCCAACCTATAATCCCGAAAGTTTCCATTTTCTTTTCCCTTAGAGTATGTTTGTGTACTGACCAAAGTTGCTCGCGCGGCGGCACACGGGCCTGGCTTTAATCATCAAATGTTGGGATAATGAAAAACAAAATGGAAACTAGTATTTAAGGTCTAGGGTTTAGGTAAAGATATTTGGATGATGGAAAATACAATGGAAACTAAGTACTATAGTATATTGGTTTATATAGGGACAATGGAAAAGAAAATCGAAGCTACTATAGCATATTGTGGGCCCCGAATATGGGCCCTTACCTGTTTCCTGAGTCCTAGCCATCGGCCCGTATGTAAGGAGTGTATAAGGATAGTTGCAACCATACTGATGAGGCATTCTCAGCCCCAAGCCCCCTGCACCCCGGAGATAAGACCAACAACAACATAACAAAACCCTGAACCATAGTAATCAGCGCCTGAAATCCCTGTGCCGACAGCCCAACTCGGACTGCCCGGAGGATGAACCTGGGGATGACGAGTTCAACTGGACAGGCATGGGTGATACCCAGCCACAGATGGTGCACCCAGACTCTGCAGTTCAGACTTTCAGGCTCAGCAGATTGGCGAGTAGGGCTGGTTGTTAGACTACTTTGGCTCCAGTGGCGCCCATGCCACAAAAAGAGTGTATCAACATGACGGACCTTTTTGCAGGCCTGTGTAGTAAGGATCTGAACGCGTTTCTGCATTCTCAGGGTTCTGCGTTTCTTATGGCTCCCAGACCCTAAGCCCTAAACCCTAAACCCTAAACCCTAAACCCTAAATCCATACCTCGGATCCAGGTATGTCAGAGTGGAGAAAGGCATTGAGGCCTGCGGCTCTCAGATGCTTGGCAAAAGAGTGTTGCTCTCTGTCTACTATAATGGGTTATATAGGGATTATAGGGATTATAGGGATTATAGGGATTATAGGGATTATAGGGATTATAGGGATTACGGGGATTAAAGGGATTAAAGGGATTTTAGGGATTATAGGGATTATATAGGGGTTATATTGGGACAATGGAAAAGAACATGGAAACTGCTATAGGGATTAGATTCTATTGGGGTTGCACTTTTGGTTTCACAAGAGTGCCCTTTCCCTGCCCTAGTGAGGATTGATTCGTGGCAAGTCGTTTGTGGCACAGAATTTTTTACAACGAAACACGTTCTAAGGACTTCAGTATATAAGGGCTACATAGGGGATATTCATACACATATATATAGGGGCTATATTGGGGATAATGGACAAGAAAATGGAAACTACTATAGTATAATAGGGTATATAGGGGTATATAGGGTATATATTGGGTAGCTATTTAGCTAGGTCTGCACCTTACATTGGAAGCCTGCAAGGCATTTCCAAGGTGGCCTGGAACCAACACGGTGGACTTGTCTCATGTTACATGTTCATGATGGGAGGGAGGGCAGCAAAGCCGTTACAGCTCTAGCACACGGACGCTCGGCCCTAAGCCATCCTGAGCTTAAACCTCAAAAGCCTTACCCCGTTGGGGTAGTATTGGGGTTATGCAGGGATAATGGAAAAGAACATGGAAAGTATTATTTAGGGTTGAGGGTTTAGGGGCCCCAACTCCGAAGCCCTAGGCTCCCAGTTCAATCTTACTGGGGCAGGTTTGCATAGGTCTTGTGGCGGTTTGTTGCCACACCGCCCCGATGTGCCACATCGCGCTTGTACGCAGCAACGGGATGTTGATCATCATGGCAGAGAGGTTGGTTTATATTGGTAGTTCCTATACTTTAGGGGTGTATCAGGTTCTATAGGGGCTATATGGGGATAATGAAAAAGAAAATGGAAACTATCTTGTAATTTCTCTGCCCCCAAGATGGCTTAGCTTCAAGCGTCACAGGGCCTGAGGAGTCCCATGGTGCCCCATACAGCAAAACTGGGCCCTGGTAGGTTTCTTGTTGAGCTTCCCCAGCCCTCAAAGCCTATAACCCTGAATCCCCAAAATCCTTAAACTGAAAACCCTAGGCCCCCAAGTAAACCTAGACTGTAAGCTCTAAATCCTAAACCGCTTTCCCTAAACCCCAGAGCCTAAACAGTAGTTTCCATTTTACTTTCCACTATCTCAATATAACCCCATGTATAATCACTATTATGATGTAGTAGTTTCCATTTTATGTCCATTATCTCAATCTCTTTCCGTGAGCCCCCAAGGATCAATCTCATTCCTGAGACCCGGGCGTCGAAACCCGCCCTCAACTGCTCAACGCCGGACGGGGGCCCGCTTTCAGCCGAGTTGGTGGATGCTTTGTACCTGGGCTTTCTGCTTGGTTGGGGGGTTGGCGTTTAAGGTTTACATTTTCGGGGGGTTTGAGGTTGTAGGGTTTAGGATGTAGGGTTGCTGATTGTGAGTTTAGACTTCTGGTTGTTGGGTTTGGGAGTTTCAAGGGTGGGTTTAAAGGACTATGCTTTCAGTAATCTCTTAGATGGCTTCACGCAAGCTCAGACATCTGACTGAACTTGGTGTTTAATGTTTGGCGGGACTTGCGCTGGGAGGGATCTGTAGTCTACTCAAATGTGAAATGGTGTGTGGCCCTTTTTCAACAAAAGTACAGTCATCTTTACCAGTCCCTTTTTCGCCTCCATGTCAGTTTGTGCGTGCTTAAGTCTGATTTCACATTATTTCAGGCTTAGAATTGCAGAAACTTGTCAATCAACGTGAAGGCGGAACCTTCCTTGTTGGCCCAAGCTTTGGTTGGAGCTGATTTCAGGGTGTCCCCCTACTGAAAGACAAGGATGCGAGAAACAACATTTGTGGAGATTTTCCTGCAGAAGCCGAGCCACAAACTCTAAACCTCAAACCTTAAACCTCAAACTCTAGACGCGAAACTCTACACCTAAGACCCCAATCCTGAAGCCCTAAATCCTAATGCCTAAACCCTGAACCCGAAAGCTGAAGCCCTAAATCTGTAAGCTTTCAGCCTTCAAGCAAGAGATATTTTGCCCAAGAACCGGTAGATTGTGCGATTATTCGGTGAAATCCCCAGGCTGTGGCAATGACATTTGAAGCGTGCAAGCCAGAAACCATTTGCAGAGGGATTTTTTCTCGACTATAACGGAGAATCAAATAGAAAAAAAAACAGACACTGAAATGGAAACTGCGTTTGTATAGTGGGCTATGAGGATTATGCAATGTAGTGGACTACATTATGTAGATCTCTTGCAGGCATTTTCAGTGGTTCCTTTGGCATTTGAGGCTGCTCGTATGCATTCCGATTATGGGAAGGCAGACATTAACCAACAGCAAGGGATGAAGGCATACGCTGATTCTTTGCAGACCCTCAGGTACAGATCACCGGGAAGCCAGTGATGGAAGCTGCAACAAGTCAGCCTGCCTGCTGCAGGGTTCCACAAAGAAAGCCTACAACGAACCGCCAACTCTAAGCATCCTGCTATCAGCATGACTGAATGTTGGAACCCTCAGCCCACATGTACAGACCAATGCTTTGCATTTGGGAGTGGGCCATGCGCCGTCCTCAATCGCTTTTTTTTGCCACCTGAAAAGATGTTCTTCTGCATTCAGTGATTCAGCGTAGTCTAACAAGGCGGTTGGGTTCTTTGTCATGTTCAGTGAATAGCAGAGGTTTGACACAAGCCTTTACATGAAGGACGGTTGGTGCTGGAATCAGAGATTTAGTGTAGTCTTCGAACTGACGCGAGGCGATTGCTGCTATGATCTTTAGCCATGATTGAGATCTTTAATTTCCTGGTGACTGCTAGTAGTGATACGACCATAGAGGTCTTTATTACCATTATCACAATTACTGTACCTAACCACTGCGTTATTGAGCCTACTAAAATTCTCAGTGATGTTGAACTGTGAGTGCCTCAGGATAGGGGTTATACAGGGATTTGCTAGGGCTCATACAGGGGTTATACAGGGATGATGGAAAAGAACATGGAAGCCACTGTGTAGGGTTTAGGGTGTCATGTTCATCGTGGGCACTCCCTCATAATTTGGCTAGGGGCCCTGCTCAGTAACAATCAGGCTTAAGTTGTCATCCTTATATTATCCCTATATAACCCCTATGTAATCCTTATACTCTAATCCCAATATAACCCCTATATAACCCCTCAGGGTGCCGAGGGCCCACCATTTTGAGAAAGCCTCCTTCCAAATCCCCAAATCCTAAGCTTTGACCCCAGAGCCCTATAGATCCCAACAACCCTCAAAAAGGCCCCCTGAATTGACTAGCCCTGCCTTTTCGGCAAGTTTTATCCTTTAGGAGTTCAGCGGCGCGGAATGGGCTTCAAGCGTAGATCGCTTTGGCCACGCTGTTTTGGGTCTCAGGTTAGGGCAACAGGAAGCAGTGGTTTCCAACGCTTAGAGCCGCAAAACTGGTAAGACGTTGTTTAGGACTTCCAGAAACGACAGCATCCCTGCTTTGGAACTGTCAAAGCGTTCGGTTGAAAGACATTTCAATGTCATCGATGGCAGAGTAGTCAGGTTTGCAGTCTGGGTTGAGGGCTTACATGAAAATCTGTAGTTCGAGGGTCCCCTCAGCCATGACAAAAGGAAGGAGGGGCCCGTCCCGACTGACAGGTGTGTTGTATAGGGGGCTCCATGTCTGCGCGGAGGAGGGTAGACCTCAAATCCCAACGCCAAGGACGTATTACGTCAATGCCGAGACTGGGGAGGCCTAGGAGCCTGCAATGCAGAGTTGTGGGCACCAGGCGGTGGGAGGTTTCTCCTAGCAAGCTCCGATCTCAGGCATTTGTACTACAAGTGCTTCAGTTGAGGTTTTGTCTAAACCTGATAGCGTTCCAGATGCAAACAAGGGTTCAGGGTTTAGTGTCGTTGGCTGTGAATTAAGGAATGGAAAAGAACATGGAAGCTACTATAATGGGTTATATAGGGACTTCTATAAGGATCCATTCCTTCATTCCTAGCTAACCAAAGGTAAGTTTTGGAAATTCTGGGGAACCCCACCCAGTCCTGCAATCTTTTTTGCCTTGTGGCTCAGTACTTCCAAAAGCTTTTGGAAACTTTCTGCGTCCACCTCGGTTGGGGTGATCCCAAATTTGGGTGCCTTCTTGGTTATGCGGGCATGCGAGGCTGACCTACTTCGTATGTATAGTTCTGCATTTTTCATATCCACCAGTAGTGGGGTCACAACTATAGTTGCTAAGTAGTCAACCCTGACACCCTGAACCCTAAACCCGAAGCCCTAAACCCCAAACCCAACCCAGCCCCCCAACCCCGATCTGTTTCAGACTCGTTGGACACCGCCTGGCAGTCCTCACGATGCCTGGTCGGGCCTCAGAGGGGTTTATAGGGGCTGAATCCCTATAATGTCCCTATAATATCCCTAGAATATATTAGAAGATCTGCAGGGATTGTAGGGATATGTAGCGTTCTCAGGGCGAATAGGGATATTTTGGGATGTTCAGGAGATTTGGAACATGTAGGATGTATGGGGTTTGGGGTGTGGTGCTTCCTTAAAGACTCCGGGGATGTATAGGGAGGTCTGTGTTCGGGATGTGGGAGTTTCTCAAGACGAGGCACAGGTTCAAGGCT